AAGAGAAAGATACAAGTAAAATTTTGTGGAAGAAGACAAGATAAACATTAATTCTGCTTAATCACTAGTTTAACTACTATAGTTTTTTACTATGAAAAAGATAACCGGTCAGATATTCGTGGAGTCGGTAACATGTAATGCAGTCAGTTTGCAGAGATGAGAGGCAAGGTGAAAGGGTTAAAGTTTTTACAAAAAATTTATTTTTTCCTGATTTTTATTGCTCTGGTAACCACTCCCGATATCTTGTTGTGTGATCTCTTTTTTAAGAGCGAGGATTAGAAAGACGAAATTTGAAATACAAAGGGTGGTACCAACGATAATAACGGATCCAGTCTTGTTTGACTAAACTTCCATATCGGGGAGTAAAGCAGCGGAACGAGTGGCAGGACAGGATAAGACGGCCTTAGGTCGTTTAGAAGCACTGTGTTATCGTCTTATTTTATCATAACGTAGGTGCTATGATGAGATTTTAGCGGAACCTTATTTTCGGCAAGGTTGTGAAATCGATTTTTACAGGCTATTGAGAGGAACAGTGGTAGAAAACTATAGAAGTTCATCTGTAACGCGGTGTCGACTTGGGTGTAAATAGGGATCGGCCTATTGTCAAATCAGTTTCACGAGTCTTCAGGTTCTGTAAGGAAACTGGGAGTTGGGCCTTCAGAGGGATACGTAGGTTGGATGAGAAACTGTGGTACGTTTGAGTTGCGGTCTTCAAATTTATTGAGTTGGCTGTGGTTGTTAATTGTTTTTCTCTCATTTTCCGGATGTAATGGGACTGGGGCCTGTGTAACTGCTTGGAGAGATCACAGTTTTTGCATAAGGCTGGTGACTGCAAACCGGATTTTTCAGTAGTGTGTGCGTTATGCCACTGTTGTCACTTTGGTTAAAATGTCTGCACCGAAAGTGAAATGTTTTGATGGCGAGTTTTGAATTTTTGCGTGTTGAGTGTATGTTGAGGATTGAACATCTCTAGGGGAATGTTAGGCTGTCTCATGCACATTCGTTAACTTTCGATACCTTGGGACCCCCGCGGTGTGTCGTCGCTTTTTTCTTTTTTTTTTTTACGGCAATTGGAAAAATGGCTCTCCATACTGCATACAAATCGTTCCTCCCTCTACTTAGTGGGGGGAATACGTGTAGACGTTAGGAGCTGTCTTGATCCCAGCGCCAATTCAAGCTCTTGTTCTGTTGCAGTGAAAGAGAAATCGCTTTGAAAGGAAACAGTGGGGTAAGGAAAATTTAGTGAATAGACATAGAGAATGGTACAGTTAAGGGATGAAAAATTTTTAACAGTCAAGTATATAAGCCGGAACCGTAACTAGAAACAAATTCCAATCACTAAAAAAGGTAAAAAAATTTTTTGGGAATAAGATAAGAAAACTGTGCCTTGTAAAGCTCTGCTATTTGAAACTCTGTGCGAGATGTACAAATTCTACACCTTCCTTTGTTTGAGAGCATCTCTGTGTTGCTCAATGCATTTGTCGTAAATTTAAAAGATACTGCAGAGCACAAGTTGGAATTAAGCATTACAGTACTTGTACAACCATGACCTCGGAAAATTTAAAAATCTTTGTTTGTTTCGCGGTGCTTCCTTTGTGGGAATGTCTTTGTGCAGTCGCATTTTGGCGCGTTAAGGCTTAGCTTTTGTTTGCTGCTGTTTACACCCCAGCGGAAAAACATTGTTTCGAATATGCTGGCTACTATGTGGAGGGTCTAACAGCGCTGCACTCTTCTTTGAAACGCAGAAGCTGTAAACAGCTCTCTTTTGCAGTTGGCTGGAATTACTCGTCTCGTCATTCCAGCTTAATGTTTTAAGTCGTCATCTCCTTTAAAGTCATTATATTGTTTTGAAGGTTTTACGTGATGTTGTAACATTGTTTTTGTTTTAAATATCAATTGATTCATTATGTCCTTTACATTTTTTGAACCTGTCTTTTCAATTAGTTGCTTCGCGCAGGTGTCTACTGGTGAAATTACTCTTCCATGGTCTCTCGCCGATCAAGATGTAAACGAGCCTGCGGAGCTCGTCACAACTCTAAGAACGTAAATTCTGGAGGTAATGTCATGATGTTTAGAAAGATGTTTTTATCTGGGAGTCAGTTAAGAGAACAACGTGTTAGGAGGGTTTCTTGAACGGTGACTGTATGTGGCGGTCAGCCATGGTTCCGCATTTTAGAGTGCGGTAACACTTGATCTTTTTAGGGGTAAAGAGTGTTTTGACTCCGAACGACGCCCCGTTTGTTGACGTAGTTCCTGGAAGAGCGCGAAGATTTAGAGGAACGTCGCGTAGCGAAGGAGTGAGGACAAATGGGCGCTCCATAAATACGAATCAGAGTGAGAATTCTGACTTTAAGATTTGCTTGTCATTCCGCAACTAAATGTTTCAAGATCCAGTAATGATCACATTGCACGTTTACAGTTTGTGTTCACCAGTTTACTACGAAAGGTAAAGAGGGAAGGATAAGATGGGTTGAAGAATTCAAGGGTTTGATGGCACAGTTGTGCAAAGCCGGAGACCGGGTGTTTTGGAGCTTATTGTAAAGTTACGATTGCGGTTTTCGAATAAGAGTGTAAAGCAAGCTGGAAGTGTAAGCGGCCCAAATGCAAAAAGTCAGGGTGGGAATTGTCGTTGAAGTCGATTTTAGCTACTGGAGCTCGCCGTATTTGGCGAATTTTTGGGGGAAGCTACTGCATATAAGTTGGCCCACAACCAAGGTTGTTGTACCACCCGGGTAAATGGTTTGGTAAAGGTTTCGTGCTTCCACTTCGTGTATTAGTTTACACGTTGAGACCTTTTCAGAAGAGACATTCTCTTTTCCCCAATAGTTCTTTTTATCGTTACAAAAGTAGCTTAATTTGCTTTTTTTAGCAGATGAGGATGATGTGAGAGGCGGATTATCTGAATTGCCCTTGCTCTCCAATGCAAATGAAGTGGTAGATTTTAAGCTTCCTGACGGTTTTGCCGGTGCTGGAGCCAGCAAGTCACTTAATTCAAGAGGTGAGCAGGATCCTGTTTAGATGCATTTTCAATGCGGTATTGTGGAATTTAAGCAGCGCTGGGAAGCAAGGGGCAGACTCACAATTAATGAATAAACTTCAAGTCAAGGTGTAATAATGAGGTGTGAGCCATTGAGGTAGGGACCAAACAGTTGTTATTTACTAATTGTTTACAAACGTTTGTTGTTAACTACAGTTTTCTTACTTACGTTTTCATCTTGAAGCTTTCATTGTTTGTTAGAAAGCAAAAAAAATGTAGAATTAAGCTTGAGGGTCTTTAAAAAGGTGGGTGGGTCTTTCACAGTTATACTTTATCGTCAGTTTTAATTCAATAAAAATTCACTTTGTTTAGGACATTATAGGGGAGGGGGCGGGGATATGGTTTTTCCTGCAGTTTGATGGTTAGAAACAAACAGTTTAGAGACGTTTTCAGGAGCTATCAGAAGGACGAGGAGAGCCGCAGTTAAGGCGATGGAGAAGTTTTCTGCAATGAAAAATTATTTTGTTGAAGAAGAAAACGACGGTTCTTCAACTGATACAGGAGCAGAAAGTCTTGATGATCTTACGGACGAAGATAGCTTATGGGAAGATGATTCCGAAAACGAATCTGTTTCTGAAGATGATGTGGACGAATCCGATGCAGAGGAGGATGACGGGAGTGAGTTAATCCTTTCGCAACTTGACGGAAGGGGCTTGCCATCTTTACCGTTTTTTATGTAACAATACAGAAAGCATAGCATTTGCAAAGAGCACTTTGACAAAAACTTTATTTGTTCAGGCAAAGATGTACCTAAGAAACAAAATTATTTGAAGAAATGCAGTAGGAATAGTTTGGTGCCAGCAACATTGCCTCCTATCTTGAAACTTAAAGAAAAAAATCATGTCGGCGATTCATACCGCAGCAAGCCTTTTGGCAGTCGGAAACGTGAAGGTTTCTTCTGCGTTTCTTTTTTTTTTCTTGTACAGTTTTAGCGTCTGACACTCAACACGATTGCAGGAGATGATGTAGCCGGTTCGCATATGAGAAGTTCAGAGTCGAAAGCAGAAAGTTCTCATACCGAGTCTTTACAAGAAATTGTGTCTCAAGGGTCGTCGTCAGGATCTGAAGATGAGTGGGAAGATGTTCATGATGA